CATCAATCGATTCATGACTTCAATAAAAAAAAATTAAAAATCCTTATCAATATTTCTATTATTATGACTATAAAACCTGCCAATGTTTTTAAGCCATTTATTCAGTATCCAGCCCTATTTACTAATTCCTATCCAATGTATATTATTCTACATTTTATATTATTATCTCTCTCACCCCCCATGTTAACCACATTTATTCTTATCATTAATCTTACAATTTGATTTAATGTATAAACATATTAGTTATCTCAACATTAACAATTATTCACTTGGTATTGTTTAGTTTGTATCTTCCCATTGAGTTTTTAAGACTGTAATTGATCAGTCTATTATTGGTATATGTGCATACTGTGCGTATGCCTCGATATTGCCTTAATTCACAAGCTTTTTGTAGTGTAAGCAAATGGCTATCAGGACTCAGAAGCTGAGTGGATAACACGATGGCGTTTCAAGCGGACGGTACTGGGTTCGAGTCCCAGAGTGAACATCAACAAGTCTGAGATGTGTGTACATCCATCTGATGAGTTCAAAATAGGACGAAACGCGCGTCAAACTGGATTCTACTGCTAGCCACTATCCATTATTGCTTATTAATAATTATGTTACATAAACCATTCTTAAATTCATAACACCAAGTGAATTTCGCATTCTATAACTTTCAACAATGTATTTTACTTTACATGATCATTGAAAATAAGAGGTTATCACACCACCTCTATACCCCAAAAATGAATGAAGAAAACATTAGGGAGCATTCTAGGTTAGAATAAACTGTTCTCGCCCATGTATAAAATGTTTGAATTGTCTAATGATTAAGACTTCTATACATTTATGAATATATAGTCTTGATGACTTCATTGCAAAGGCTTAAATACTACATTTTAGGTAGATTTGATGGTTTATTATAGTTATATATATATATGTTGTAATTTCATTGATTAAGATCATGAGTCAGTTGAAGCTAGACCACCATGGAAAACCTGGAAGCACTGGACGGCCGTTTCGTCCTATTATGGGATTCCTCAGCAATGCGCATCCACGACCAGGTCTGTTGTGGGATAGAAACTCACTGAAGACAATGGTGGATGTGTCGCTCAATTTCGTGGATTAGTTGAAGTTAGACATTAACACCATTGGATGCCGGCTCAGTGGTCTAGTGGTTAAGTGCTCGCGCGCGAAGCCAGTAGGTCCTGGGTTCGAATCTCGCAGGGGGCGAGGTCGTGGATGCGCACTGCTGAGGAGTCCCATAATAGGACGAAACGGCCGTCCAGTGCTTCCAGGTTTTCCATGGTGGTCTAGCTTCAACTGACTCATGATCTTAATCAATGAAATTACTACAATCTCCACAAAACCCCTTCTGATAATATATGTTGTAATTAAACATTGAATGAACATGATGTCATGTTTTTTTAAGCACATATTTTCCATTCCTCTAGATTGTGCAATCTTTGAATACTTCATCTTATGTATGTACTGATAAGTCTTGTAATTCGAACGCTTATTTCGTTTTCTAAGCTATTCTTGAGACCTCCAAGCTAGAATTATCCAGCAACCTGAACACAAGAGAGAAGCCGAAAAGTATGCGAAAAGTATTTTACTCCAAGTTTCATTTTTGTACATAAAAACACGGGTATTTATAGATGTTAATATTTGTTAAATCAACATTATATTATAGCCAATCCACTAAAAGACATTTTATGCTACTGACCAATAGTAGCACTCCACGTTGGTATTCTAAAAAGCTCCATCGTGTTCTGATTGGCTAAGACTCTTTGGCTCCTTCAGTGCCTCTGAAGGCTCTGTTCCATTTCTCGGAAAGCCGATTTAACATATACATCCATATACATGTAATTTGGTGAATTCAATGCAATGTATTCTAACAGTCCTTGAGATACTTGGCACTTTACAAATCATAAACTTCATCTTCTCAATCATAATCAGTTTGATAGCATTTTATGTTATCCAATATATTATACTTTAATATATATAGTCTCATTGAAATCAGATAAACTAACCTTGACTTTTAACCAGTCTAAGTGAAGTAGTGTCATTCAATCATGGGAGCATTAGCCCACATATATATACAAACATGATGATTATATCTAGGCTATAAAAAATAACACATACCACTCCATAGGAATAGGATAGACAAAATGTTTTATTGATTAGTACATACATATAATTGAGACATGTCTAAAATATTGGACATTTTAACATGGATTGGCTGAATGGTTTGATTATTGAAGTATTATTATTAGAAATCTTTAATAATAATAAACTATTCTTTTCAGTAGTAAATATATGGATAGAGTAGGAAATAATTTTGATGGAGTTTTGTTCTTTGAGCTGGATAGTTTGATCGTGGAACTTTCATCGTTCTTCTGAACAACATCATCCGCAGCATAAACTTCAGATAGAAGTGTGAAGTGTTCGAATTTCTTCATATCTGAAGTTTGTGCTAATGATAATGTCGTTCAGAAGAACGACGAAAGCTCCACGATCAAATCAACCAGCTCAGAGAACTAAATTCCATCAAAATTATCCAGCTGAGCTAAAAAATCTTCTCCACCATCTCGTAGGAAATAATTTCAATGACTTCAATAAGTAGTTTTATCTTGAATGATCTACATTTGAAGAAGATACGTGTAACATACAAGTGAGTAAAATCGATTTTTTTTTCGTAAAAAAAAAAAAAAAAAAACAGTCACTTATTCTATGTAAGATTATAGATAGACTAAATCCATAATAGAATATGTTTTACGAAGAGATCCTATTCAATGAGTTCATCTTCAAGGGAATAAATTGGGTGAACAGGCTAACTGTTTTGAGATAAATTGATACAACTTACCATTTTAAGGTAGATGTTCCAGATAATCTACTTCTGTATAGATAGATATATAGGCTATTTCTTCGTCGTATTTTGTACTATCTACCAATATGACTCAGTTAGTAATAACATAGGTCGTTATTTATGTTATCTATTCAGCAATGTTCTGTAATGAACACAAGACATTCAGCCTCAGCTTCATCTTTTCATATCAGTTACAAAATCAACTTTCAGAGGTGTCCATCAGAACTTTATGTTACAGTAACTTAAGCCATTGATAATCTAAAATTTGAGCTGTATATACTAATATATAATTGCTACTGAATGACAAGTCATAAGCGAAAATGGAACCTTCGGTACAATCCTGTTAAAAGTCATTGTTGATCAATATCTGCACGATTATTGAATATTTACACTATTATTTTCTTGTATTCCTCTGTCTGTGAACATTTGTACAACACATAAATTATTATTATCAGAAGGGATTTTGTGGAGATTTTAGAAATTTCACTAGTTGAAATCATGAATCAATTGAAGCTCGACCACCATGGAAAACCTGGAAGCACTCGAAGGCCATTTCGTCCTATTGTGGGACTCCTCAACAGTGCTCATCCACGATCCCGCTCCCCGCGAGATTCGAACCCAAGACCTACCGGTCTCGCACCAGGCGCTTAACCAACTAGACCACTAGGTTTTCCATGGTGGTCTAGCTTCAATTGATTCATGATTTCAACCAGTGACATAAATTATTATCAGAAAGGATTTTCATAGACCACCATGGAAAACCTGGAAGTATTGGATGACCGTTTTGTCCTATTGTGGGACTCCTCATTATTGCTCCTCATAAATTATTGTTGTGTTTCACCATTCTCAAAATACTATTAATTTGTTACAGGTCTATTACTCAATCCTCTTCCACTTTTGGCTTGGTGGTACCTATGTTGTAATTTCCTAATTCTATTGATTTGTAATCATGAAGTTTCTGTATTCTATTCCATGAGTGATTCATGTAATTAAAAGCTATCTGCTTACTGACAACTGACTTATTCTAGCTGCATCCTAGACTTGATAGTCATTATATGTTATTCTCGGCTGTCAGCTCACATTTGTAGACATTGGTTAGCCGAAAGTCAATGGTATTAGATAAACTATCTAGGTGAGCTAATTAATACAACTGCTCTCCTATCTTACAATACGATTCCACGGGTCTCAAGTAAACTAAGCAAGCAAATCTATTTATTTTCATTGACACATCAAAAATGATTCATCAGTTCCCTTTTCTTTATTATGGCCTTCTTTATAATTTCATTTCTTTACTTACTTTTATTTTCAATGGTTAAGATCATGAATCAGTTGAAGCTAGACCACCATGGAAAACCTGGAAGCACTGGACGGCCGTCTCGTCCTATTGTGGGACTCCTCGGTGGCAGTGCGCATCCACGATCCCGCCCCCTGAGAGATTCGAACCCAGGACCTACTGGTTTCACACTCACGTTTACAGAAATTTACTCCATTTAACTATTATTATTGTCAGAAGGGGTTTTGTGGAGATTGTAGTAATTTCAATGGTTAAGATCATGAATCAGTTGAAGCTAGACCACCATAGAAAATCTGGAAGCACTGAAAGGCCGTCTCGTCCTATTGTGGGACTCCTCGGTGGCAGTGCGCACCCACGACCTCGCCCCCTACGAGATTCGAACACAGGACCTACTGGTTTCGCGCGCGAGCACTTAACCACTAGACCACTGAACTGACCGGCATCCAATGGTGTTAATGTCTAACTTCAACTAATCCACAAAATTGAGCGACACATCCACCATTGTCTTCAGTGAGTTACTATCCCACAACAGACCTGGTTGAACTCCACTAGTCACTGTTTCTCACTAGAACTCCAGGATATACCATAGCTGCGCACTACTGATGAATCCCATAATAGGACGAAACGGCCATCCATTGCTTCCAGATTTTCTATGGTGGTCTAGCTTCAACTGACTTATGATCTTAACCATTGAAATTACTACAATCTTCACAAAACTCCTTCTGATATGAATGACAAACAGTTCTTCCGTACAAAGCTCAACGACTTTCATTATTATTTCATTAATTTGTTCATCCATTTTAATTTCTTATCCATAATATCTGTTGTTTTCATAAACTGGTGAGTTGTTCAATTACAATTTTAACCATTTTGAATTCCTAGATTTCAACAGATTTACATCGTATTGCTTAGTAGTTTATGTTGGTCACTAGAAGTAGTTTGTTTGTGAATATTCAATTTTATAATTAAATAAATTACTGTAATCAACCTTCATATGAAAATTCATTGAATTAGTTGTCATTATAAAAAAAAACAAACAACAATCTAATACAAGTATGAATTATTGATTAATTATGAGTATCTCTTTATCTTTTTTTCTCTTTTTTCTCTTTTCTCTTTTTTCTTTTTTTTCTTTTCTTTTCTTTTTTTTTAAATTTTCACATCACTACTAATTAAACTTATAATGAAAAATAAATCTAACTGAATTTTTATTCAATCTCTATGTGTAGTTTATAAAAATGTTAATGTTGATTAAGTGAATTCAAGTTTCAATGTACCATTCTCATTATGAATATCATCTTATATTACTTAAACACCTTAGATTAATGTTAAAGTTGAACAATATTTAATTAAATATACATTTTTCATACCATTCTAAATGATAGAATTTAAGTAAGAGTAGTGAGTAAACAAAATTTATCATAATGTATATGTGTTAGTGATATGATAGAAAGAAAGGTCAATTTTCAATTGATTTATTCAGTATGAGTTTTATTCATCATCATCATCATCATCATCCAAATCATCATCATCATCCAAATCATAATCATCAACATCCAAATCATCTTCATCATCCAAATCATCATCATCATCATCATCATCATCCAAATCATCTTCATCATCCAAATCATCATCATCATCATCCAAATCATCATCATCATCATCATCATCATCATCATCCAACTCATCATCATCATCATCATCATCATCAGCAGCAGCAGCAGCAGCATCATCCAAATCATCATCATCATCATCATCATCCAAATCATCATCATCCAAATCATCATCATCATCCAAATCATCATCATCATCATCATCATCATCATCATCATCCAAATCATCATCATCATCATCATCGTCATCATCATCATCCGAATCATCATCATCATCATCATCATCATCATCATCATCCAAATCATCATCATCATCCAAATCATCATCATCGTAGTTGTCGTCGTCGTGTTTGGGGACCAATAAATCTTCACTTATACCAGTCTTTGTGTTTTGACTTTTGCGTCGTGGGAATTGCTGAGGTCCCTCGTTCTATGTATAATTGATCAGTATTTTTCCGGCACAACAATTAGCGACAACCAGACATAATAGTTATTCAGTTAAGGCATACACAGTATTCCAATTTATTTTCATACAACTGAAGCCATTGTTAAATAATTAGAAAAGTCAAAATTATCTACGATGGAACCTCTTCTTTTACATTGGTTTTAGTTTCTAGTTATTGAAAGTCACCACTCTCCTTGTCCCTTTCTATTTATTGACTTTTTCCCTTTATCTGATTTATTTTTATTTCAATGTTCATTCTGATTATATTTTGTTATCATGTCAACATTTTTATCTCATAATTATTTAATCGAATTATTTGATCAATATTCAAGATCTTAACAACTAGATCTTCAGTTACTTAATAAGACTACCACATATTCGAACCTTTGTTTCTGTTACTCATCTACTATTTTCAGTTAAATAGTGTTTCAAAAAAAAAAAAAATCAACTGTTGCTGCTACCTTGACGTGATGGTCGAGCTTGCCTATTGTGATGAACCAGTTGGGCTATACTGATTGGAACAATAGTTCCTCAAGGTCCTATCAGGCCAGGCAGGTCGGCTGAACAACGGTAAGACGAAAGGCAAAAAACCCAAGGTCCGAGGGTGAAGTCGTACTGCTGACTGTATATAGGTATAACCAAAAATCTACGGAACAACTTAAACCAATGGTGGGCATCGAAAGCAAAAAATATGAAAAAGGTGGCGGTTGTATTTAACACAAAACAGCTTTTCAGACTAATAAAAGAAACCAGAATTGAAAAGTCAATTGTGAGACAATCTCAGAAAAAAACAGCAATCTTATCTGCTCTCAGTTTAGACGATTAGAGCGATGAGCAGCTGGTCTTCAGCTACTCTACAACTACTCACCATTCGCAAACAGCCTGAATGGAAAATTAGGTAGGCCCCTCGGCTCTAATCGAAGTTCAAAAATCTATGGCAAATCTCAAACTAGGAAGTGCAACTGGTCCAGATGGATTGGTTCCAGAGGTCCCATCTGACTCGTCTTAATCACCGATCGTCCCAATACATAAGAAAGGATCAAAATCATCCTTTGTTAACTATGGAGGCAATAGTTTGACTAATATTGGATCTAAAATATTCGCCTCAGTAATTATCGGACTTTTGGTAAGTTTCATTATAGAGCTACTGATGGAAATAACGTTCTCGTCGACTGAATTTTAAGGAAATCATCTGCTATCAGGTGGTCCACTTACCGACTTAGAATACGTAGATGATATAGTCCTGTTTGGTGAAGACGCTGATAAAATGCACTCTTTTGGTAGCACTGAGCAACAATGTCAGGGTGTTTGTGATGCGTTCCTCAACCTCTAAATGAAAGTTGTTGCTTCAGGACTGGCATGCGTCATCACTTGAACTAAGAATACGGAGTGAAGTAATCGAATACGTCAAAAACTTCACTTATCTCGGGAGTATGACCAGCCTTAATGGGTTGGTGTCTGATGAAATCTCAGTACAGATACAAAAATCTAATTTGGCTTTTGTCAACTTGCGTTACCTATGGTGAAGGCGAGATACCCATCTACCAATTAAGAGACGAGTATACTGCACAGTATTTCGCTCTGTTCTATTTTACGGCTGCGTAACGTGGTCATTAAGAATAGAAGTTACTCATAAGCTACTAGTATTTGATCAGAGATGGCTCAGAAATATTGCTCGCGTCTGCTGGGATCACCGGGTAAGTAATAGTGAGCTTAAACGCAAGGTATTAGGGAATGACGGTAAATCAGTTGGTGAGATTGTGAATGTTCATCGACTGAGATGTTTGAGCCACGTGTTACGTATGTCTGAACTCCGAATACCACGGTGCTCAAGGCTGACTAGTGTTGGAGACGGTTAGAGGAAAGTTATTGGTGACCAAACCAAAACGTGGTATCAGTCTATAAAGTCATAAACTTCTGGTCTGAGTCATGTTGGTAGAATTATACTACTTGGTTGGGGTCCGCGTGACTACCGTAACTAGTGGTGGGAGACTCTGAATGACGTGACTCTGAATCGATCACAATGATGTAGGTGTATATACTCATTGTGTTCCCTTAAACCGCGAGATTAAAATTACTTCATACCTTTCTTTCTACAAACTAACTCTTTCTTCCTGTATCATATCCTTATATGCGATGCTTTTTTTAATATATTATTAAATAGACTATTGAAGTAACTGCTTCTATGAATTTGATGTTCATCTTGTTGTACTAATGAGGTATGACAACTTGAACTAATGTATATGTGCCTGGTCCTATGTTGTAGATAGCTGAATGACTGGATGCATTAAAAAGTATGTTATTTTGTAAGTGTTTACATATATCTCAGTTAGAGACTGCCGTTGATCAGGTACATCCAACTGATGAGTTCCATGATGGACGAAATAAGCTTCATGAATTCCTCGACTAGCTTCTATACAAATTTACTAAAGTATATTATTATCTATCGTTTTATAAATGAATTCGTTGTAAAAGAAGGGAACTCTTCTTTAACTCGACTTTTCCTGCGACCTAATCAACAATACAAACATTGTAATATATGATCAAAACTATATTGTATTATCAACCAGGTCTGTTGTGGGATAGTAACTCACTGAAGACAATGGTGGATGTGTTGCTCAATTTCGTGGATTAGTTGAAGTTAGACATTAACACCATTGGATGCCGGCTCAGTGGTCTAGTGGTTAAGTGCTCGCGCACGAAACCAGTAGGTCCTGTGTTCGAATCTCGTAGGAGGCGAGGTCGTGGATGCGCACTGCCACCGAGGAGTCCCATAATAGGACGAAACGGCCGTCCAGTGCTTCCAGGTTTTCCATGGTGGTCTAGCTTCAACTGACTCATGATCTTAATCATTGAAAAATAATACAATACTGTTTATGACTTATTAATGTAAGATAGTAAATAAATTATCAGTCACTTGAATATCCTTCTTACCCCTCATTCAATAGATTAGCCCCCCCCCCGCTTAGGAGAATTAAATAAACAGATGAGTTTTAAGGAGGAAATAAAAAAAATCAATACAACTGAGTCATTCAGTTGTTTATTCAGTCCCATTGTTATTATTGACCACACCCATGGGGTCTAGGCAAAAAAACAAAACAATGGAATTTAACTCATAATTGTGTTAATTCCAATAGAGAGAGAGAGAGAGAAAAAAAAATAAGAAAGGTACTGAATATAGGCAAATATTAATCAAAAGTTTATCATTGTCAATATATCAAACTTGTTGAGAATTGACCATTTCTTTGAAAATAGTTAAATTCATGAATAAATGAATGCTAGATCACTATGGAAACACTGAATGATCGTTTCGTCCTAGTATGAAACTCCTCAGTAGTACACACTCATGATTCCTCTCGTGGATAATTGGCTTATATTTTCAGACAACCTAGAGAAATTTCTATTACGTGAATAATACTATCATATTTGTTACTTTTTGGGGTTTTTACACTTGGAATGTTCTTCTAATACATAAGTACATCTATTCCAACTAGACAGATCAAACAACCGATATATAATAATACTTCGAAAATAATCCCCAACTCAATGAAAAAATTAGAGAGTAGTCAAGTGGTTAATGAGTTACCTGTACAAAGGAACAAAACTGATGTGATTTGAAGTTTAAAAAAAAAAGTTTGCAAAATTGAATATGAAGATTTATTCACTTACCAACTACTGATTCACAGTACTGAATACCATGACATTGAACAGTGTAACATTACAACATATCATTCGAATATTTGCTTAATAAATAAATTCGAATGTACTGAACTGGGAGTAGTTAATATTGATTAATCAATAATTTAACTCCGCCTGGAGTCCCTCTGGGGGTTACTGCCGGTCCCAAGCCCGGATAAAGGAGGAGGGTTGGGCATAGAGTTAGCGAACCCATCCGGTAGAAAACTAACTAGCTAAAAAAAACCCTAACCAGAAAACTAATCAATAATTTAATGTATTTATAGTTTGTAAAATCAATAGATTAACCGGTTACACTAACAGATTATTAAATTATGTTTTTCCCTCCTTCTTAATAAAATCTCACCATAGTTATCCTTACACATAAGAACTGTCATTTATTTATCTATGGTTTACCTACAAGAGGTTGGTCGTGGCCCGGATAGCTAAGTGGTAATGTCTCTGACTGTGAAGCTAAGTGACACGGGATCGAATCCATCAGGGAGCACCAGTTCCCTCAAGATTACAGGTACACCTTGCTGACGAGTACCAAGTAGCACGAAACCCGGGTCCAGAGTCTCCTGTCGACTACTTCCAACCACCATCTAATATCAGTATAATTTGAGAAATACAATTTTGAATGGAAGTTACAATTCATATGATTAATCTAATTAACATTTTAAGTTGTCTAGTGTTAGAAAACGGATTTAGATTCATTGAAATAATAATAATTATTATTATCATTATTATAGTCAGTTACAATTTTATCGATAACTTTATAGCGACCAAGGTTATGCGTGACAGGTCCTTTCTAGCGCAGATCGAATTCAATCGATGAAGTTGCAATGTGGGTACTAGTCTAGCCGGCTCGATATAGCGTGCACTGTAAGATGTTTGGTTGGAGGTAGTCGACAGGAAACCCTACTTGACCTAGGTTTTGTGCTACTCGGCACACGTCAGCAGGGTGTGCCTGTAATCTTGATGGGGCTGATACTCTATGATGGATTTGGTCCCGTTCTACCCGGCTTCACAGTCGGAGACGTTAGCATGACTGACCAGGTGTACCTGTGGTTTGTCAGTTAAAGAATATTTAACATTAATATTTATTGAATACATTGATTATAATTCTTAAAACTGATAAAAAAAAGATCGCGACAGAAGTATCTAAATATCATTATTTTACTTCCAAGTTGAAGCCTTCTCATAAAGAAAGAAGGGAATTAGAAAAGGTTGGTCTTACAAATAGAATACGTCATCTAACC